CAATATGGCGACTTACATCAAACAAACTTTATAGCGTGGATGCGTCTGGATTGAAAAACCATTTACTCGCGCTCACGGGGAACCTTCTCTTTGAAGACCCCACCTGTAGTTCCACTCTACTCTCGTTAATAAGGCAGTCTTGGTGCCTGCTTCGATCATCCGAAAAATATGGTTTCAGATCAATTTTAGAATGGTTTTATGAGCAATACAATATGGCGACTTACATCAAACAAACTTTATAGCGTGGATGCGTCTGGATTGAAAAACCGTTCACTCGCGCTCACGGGGAGCCTTCTCTCTGAAGACCCCACCTGTAGTTCCACTCTACTCTCGTTAATAAGGCAGTCTTGGTGCCTGCTTCGATCATCCGAAAAATATGGTTTCAGAACAATTTTACAATGGTTTTATGAGCAATACAATATGGCGACTTACATCAAACAAACTTTATAGCGTGGATGCGTCTGGATTGAAAAACCGTTCACTCGCGCTCACGGGGAGCCTTCTCTTTGAAGACCCCTGTTATATTCTGCGCCGACGCGGCGGTGCTCTAAAGCCTGACTACATTGGACGCAAGCGCCGGTGACTCACGTTCGACGTAGCCGGGAAACTACATGCCCCGAGCGGACCTGGACGGTCGCCGGAGCGAGAAGAAAGAACAACCAACGGATTCAGGAGCGGGGCGAACACTGGCCGATGAGGCCGCAGATCACGCGCGGCTCATGCCGTCGCGTGCTGTCCTTTTTTTTTATTTTTTTTACATGGATGCACGAGATGGCTACTTTAAAAAGGAGATGTCAAGTAGCGCCATCTCGTGCAAATCAAAATACTACATTCTCCCTCCCTTAAAAGAAATAAGAAAATTGTGGGAGGAAGACTTACGTTATACATTCGTTATGTGAAAAAAATAACGAAAATCAAAACACTTCACCACCCGAAGATTGCGTTATTTCACTGGAAATATTGGTTTTGAAATTGTTCGTTGAAACACAAAAAAAAATATAAAATTCGCAAAAGATTGTTCATAGACGTTTTTTGTGTGCACGACACGGAAATTCAACAAAATCTTAAACAAGTCATCCAAACAAAACGGGTTTTCACTGAAAGTTCAGGTTGCATCATACTAGTCACGTGACGATCAAAATTTCATTCCAAGAGTCATATTTCAACTTGGAGCACTCTCATCTCTCCTCCTCTTGGGAGGAAAATGAAACATCCAACAATACCTATTTGAGTACATTTGTATTACTATGATTTGTATTTTCTATTTCCATTTTAATGTCCATGGCACATTGTAGTGTTGACTGTTAGTTTGTTAGTTTGGTTATTGTTTAGAATATTGTGTTTGTCATGGACATTTTTACCTTGGCCAAGGTTTTGCTATAACAGTGATATGCTTTTAATGTTCTATATCTACCTAAAGTTTATACCAAAAATGACCTTTTACGTAAACATAACTACAAAAGCCTTAGTCACTGTACTCCGAATCTGACTGAAAACTATCATCGCCAAGTGCAAGAATATAGTCTTTGAACTTCAGCGGAAGTCTTCTCTGGCGTATTGGCCGACCTTGCCTCGCTGGTGGTAGAGGAGCTGTAGATGGCTTGGAGATCGTGGGTGGTGTGTGGAACTCGGTCGTGAGTTCTTCCACTGAATCCTCAAGTGGAGGCATAGGTGGCGTACTCGTTTCTGGCGACGGCAAAACGAGCAGTTCTGCCCGTGTGTCTGGGCAAACTGCCAGATCGGAGACAGGTAGTTGCTCTGCAACCACGGACTCTGGTGATGACCCTGGCACAGCGTCCGGAGCAGCAACAACCACTGGCCCAGGAAGAGGCCTGACCGCAGCCTCAGGAACAGGCCTGACAAGCCTGTCAGGCTCCACAGACTGTCCAGCGTCTGCCACGGAAGCAGGGCAGAGCTCAGGTGCAGAGATCCCGATCATGTCGGGTACAGCCGACCCGAGATTCCCCTCGGAAACAGGAGCAGGGCCCCCAGGAACAGAGGCAGGCCCAGGGACAGCTCCAAGAACAGTTCCAGGAACAGGTCCAGGAACAGGCCCCGGTACAGCACGCGGAGCAGGAGACTCGGCCGCAGCAACCGGAACTGTAAACTTTGGCGCAGCAAACAGATCTGGCTCCTTGGGAGAACCCAGCGCTGCGTGGCGAGGTGCACCTGCCATGGGTGCAGCAGATGAACCGGGTCTCCCCAAGAGACCAGACGCTGCGGGGTTACAGGAACCCTCCGGGCAAGAAAAGACAATTGGTACTTGGGACGTTGAAGTGCTTCCACGGACAGGGGTCAGTACAGGAACCACTGGAGTTGCAGGAGGTATATACAAGTCATCTTCGTCATCATCATCATCCCAACCGTAGTCAGGAACTTGTGCTGGAGGCAGCTGTATGGACTTTGCAAGCTTCGCTGCGTTCCATTTCCTACCGTCAGCGAGTTGATATGTAGCAGGTCCTAACTGTGCATGTATCCGTTGTGGTTCTGTATATGTACTCCGCAACTTGTTGTGATGGGTGGGCTTGAATACGCGAACAGCCTGCCCAGGATGAAACTGAGGGTGTCGTACCGCTCTACGATGGTCAGAATAATCTTTCATGTTTTGTTGATAGCGCTGTACTCTGCCTTGTAGCTGAGCTCGACGTTCCAAGAGATCGTCAGGTACCGTCCTAGTCGGCATGCCTTGTACGTCTAGTCTAGACCGATGATTTCGTCCATGAAGGAGAAAGGATGGTGCAAATCCTGTTGCAGGATGTACCGTACGTCGGTACGCTTCCAGGTGGTCTCGGACGGCATCTGGAAGTGGACGACCTTGTACAACAGCTAACTGAAGGCACGACTTCAGGACTCGGTTAAATCTTTCCACCTGCCCGTTACATTGGGGTGGTATAATGACGTTCTCCTATGTTTGATGCCATGTTGACGCAAGAAATCTTGAAATTCATGGGAGGTCAACTGTACTCCATTATCTGACACAATCTCGCAGGGCAGTCCCTCGCGTGAAAAAACGTTCTTCAAAAAGCTGATGACAGTCGCAGAAGTCACAGAAGACGTGGCTTGAACTTCTGGCCACTTGGAGTGGTAATCTATGAGTACCAAAAAAAACCTTTGACTGGCCGGTGCACGATCAACCGGGCCCACGATGTCGATTCCTAGCTTTTCCCAGGGCTGACTTGGAAACTGGATGGGCTGCAAGGGAGCCGGTGCAGCCTTCACTGGTTTGTCGGTAGCATGGCACACCGTGCAGTTCTGGATCTTGTTCTTTATGTGTTCATTCATCAACGGCCACCAGTAGTGTTCCCGGATCACACTTGTGGTTCTTGTGATCCCCTGATGAACTTCGTGTGCTACTTCCACGATCCGGTCTCGAAACTCGACAGGGACGACAAGTTTTTCTCCCTTGTACAAAATACCGTCGTACAGCGACAGTTGGTCTCTGACGTGATAGTAAGGCCGGAGATCTGGATTGGTTTTACTATCTTCAGGCCAAACCGAGGTAGTATAGCGGATGACTGAAGGAAGAACTATGTCATTGGCCGTAGCCTGTTGAAAACCGCCTTTCGACAAAGGAACCATTACGACGGAAACAACTTCCTCGTCGAATCTCATGCCCTCCTCAGTGTCAGACACTGGCAACCGTGAAAACGCGTCAGCAACGACGTTGGTGGCGCCCTTCTGAAACTCCATTTTGAAATTGTAATTCAGAAGTCGGGAGGACCAACGAGTGATCCTTAGAGGACGGATTCCGGAACCTTTGTTGGACAGCAACGTGACCAACGCCTGATGGTCAGTACGAATGACAAAAGACCTTCCCCACAGATACACGTGCCACTTTTCACACGCCCAAAGACATGCGAGAGCTTCCTTCTCGCCCGTGGAATACCTTCGCTCTGCATCAGTTAGCGAGCGAGACGCGAAGGCTACAGGACGAAGCTGGCTACCATACTGCTGCTGCAAAACAGCACCGAGACCGTACTGAGAAGCATCTGTGGCCACGACGATAGGCAACGTCGGGTCAAACATGGCCAAAATTGGAGCTTCTTGGATGGAAGTCTTTACTTTTTGAAAACTGGCCTCGACTTCCGGAGACCAGTTGAAACGAACTCCTTTACGTAGGAGACGACGCATCGGTTCGACGACCGTGGAACAATGAGGGATGAACTTGCTGTAGTACTCTACCAGCCCTAAAAATGCTCTTAACTTCACTGCATCAGAGGGAGTTGCAAAATTTAGGACCGCATCTACCTTGGATGACAGGGGTGCTAAACCTTTCACGGAAAGATGGTGTCCCAAAAATGAGAGCTCCTGTACTTGGAAAACACCTTTACGGTTTAGCTTCATTCCTGCTTGGGAAATTCGAGACAAGACACGACGGAGATTCTCATCGTGCTCCTTCAAAGTGGATCCATAAACGATGATATCGTCCAGATAGAACTGAACGCCTGGACAATCCTTTAGGATTTTGGACATGAGTTGCTGGAAAGCTGCGGGTGCGGATGCCAGCCCGAAGCAAACTCTCTTAAAGCGAAATAACCCCTCGTGGGTAATGAAAGACGTGAGGTCACGACTCACCGGGTCGAGACGGACTTGATGGTAGGCGGACGCCAAATCCAGCTTGGAGAAGATCGCCGCTCCCCGTAGAGAGTTCAACAGTTCATTGATGCAAGGAAGTGGAAATGAATCAATGACAACGGCCTGGTTCGGAGCTCGTAGGTCCACACACATACGGATGTTGCCATCGGGCTTGCGGACGACAACAATAGGTGACACCCACTCGGAGGCTTCGACACGTTCAATTACGCCCTCTCGCTCCAGCTTGAAAATTTCTTCGGAAACCCGATCCCTTAGGGTCATCGGGAGGCGACGGAGCTTTGATTGGACTGGTGGAACTGTGTGCCGCACCTTGACCTTGTGCGAGTAATTCTTCAGCAGACCCAACCCCGGGCTAAAAAGATGTTCAAAATCTTCGAAGCCAGGTGGCAACTTGGATGTGTCTCGCTTCGAGGAACCACCAACAAGGCTCGTTGAAGGACTGGATTTCTCTGGATGACGCTGCATACCTTGGGGCGCTTGACTCCCCGGATGATCTTGTGGACCGTGTAGTCCGTGACTCTCAGGACTGTAGAGCTCTTGACTCTCAGGATGACGCTGTGGATGATAGAGCCCTTGACTCTCAGGATGACGTTGCGGACTATGGAGCCCTTGACTCTCAGGATGACGTTGCGGACTATGGAGCCCTCGACTCTCAGGATGACGTTGCGGACTTGACTCGTCCTCGAAGACTTTAGGTGTGGTCTCTTCAGAGACCGATGAAGCAGGAGACGGGTTCTCCGCAAATGAAGGTCTGGAACTTGCCGCTGGTCGAGAACCAGGGACTTGCGATGCTTGACAGGACGACGCGGTGAACGGTCGTCGCTGCGGGTTGGGCATGGGCCTCACATCCCGCTGTGATGCTCCTCCTCCGTGAGCTGCATTCGCATACAAACACTCATGTTTAGCGCCATTCAACACCAGTTGCAACTCACGGACCGCGTCGATGCCGAGTAACGAACGTCCAGTCTTGGTTACGTAAAACTCCAACGTTGTCCAGCGGTTCTTAAAATTTACTTGTCCCACAAAACATCCAAGTACCGGAATGGTCTCTTGCAAATAGTGGACGAGAGGCGTCGACGGCGGATGAAACTTTATCCTCCGCTGCTTGTTAACTTCGTTAAACATGCGTTCATTTAGGATCGACACACATGAACCGGTATCAACAAGAAGACGAAGAGGGGTCCCATTTACCGTGATCTCGGCCATGAAGGCGTCACGACGCATGCTGCCGCCTTCTCGTCGCTCGGCCGTCCCGACGACCACAGGTTCCTCCGTCAGCCTGACGCTTGGCAGGTCCTCAGGAGACAGCGACTGGCCGACCACGTTCACCCGGCCGGGCCGGTCCCCTCTGAACTGTCTGTCGGCGAAGGTCCGCCGAGTACCACGGCCTTGAACCGGGAACGATGCCTGTCGCCGATCGTAGGTGAAGGCAGCCGCCGGCGGGCGACGACTCCGACACGCCACTGCAAAGTGTCCCCACTTTCCACATAAGAAGCATGTCGCTTGAGACGCCGGGCAAACCGCTCGATCATGACGGCGGCGTCCACAGAAGTAGCAGGCGTCGTCTGCTCCGATCCCACCCGTCCGAGGCGGAGCGGGCTCACGCCCACGCTGAGGCTGGAACACCCTCGCCGGAAAACGGGGCACGTGACCGGAGGCCACCGGAGCCCAAGGCATCCTGGGTCCAAGCTGCGACGGGGGGTAGCCAGGTTGAGGCCAGGGAGGGTAGCCGCTGTAGCCATCTTGCCCATGCTCGATCGAAGAAGACGACGCTTGGCCGCCATCTTGTGTTGCTGCCTTTTGACGTTCCTCGATCTGGACACGCTGGACTTCTGCCGCGACCGGGACTTGCGACTCTCGCCGCCGAAAACTTGCGGCCGTCTTCGCTCTCTGCTCGTACTGGCGAGCGATCTGGATAGCCCGCGACAGCGTTGGCAGCTCGCTGCCCTCGCACTCCTGCAGAACGCGATCCTGGACGCGTCTGGACTCCAGGCCTTCCAAGAAAACCTCGCAAAGTCTTTCATCGAGCGCGTTCCCCAGAGCACAAAACGAAGCCTGATGGCGCAACACGGCAAGAAACTCGGTTACCGACTGGCCAGGACGTTGGAACAAACCGCGCAGCTTCTGGCGTTCAAGCGCGATACTACCCGAAAACTCAAAATGCTTCTCGACTGCCTCCAGAAAAACCTGGAACTCGTCAGTCCCCTCCACCGCAACCGTCTCGTACAGCTGAAATGCATCCACGATGCGCTGGCCCTCAGTGCCCAACAGCGAAAACAGGATGGCTTTTTTCCGGAACGGTTCTACGAGATGCAACGCCGACGCGTCAAGAAAAGTCAGAAAAGCACGCTTCCATGCCGGCCAAGCTACTATCGGCGGACCGGGCACTGCCAAAAAGACGGCCGGCGGCGGGAACGCCGTTGGGCCGCTCGAAGATGAAGAGGACGAAGTCATCTCACGATGAAAATGGAACGTACTGAAAACCTAGGCCTAATGCCTCCCCCCGAAACTCATCAAACGCGGCCTTTCCGCAAAATATGACTACCGTTCACCCGGAACAAAAAGGAATACATTTCATGAATACAGTTACGCGCCGGTTTCCTCAACCACTGACCCGCGACGCGGAGTGAAGCCCCCTCCCGAATCCCGGGTTACAAAAGAGGAAATGCTACATATTAAAACAAATATCCCATCCTGGTCGCCAAAATGTTATATTCTGCGCCGACGCGGCGGTGCTCTAAAGCCTGACTACATTGGACGCAAGCGCCGGTGACTCACGTTCGACGTAGCCGGGAAACTACATGCCCCGAGCGGACCTGGACGGTCGCCGGAGCGAGAAGAAAGAACAACCAACGGATTCAGGAGCGGGGCGAACACTGGCCGATGAGGCCGCAGATCACGCGCGGCTCATGCCGTCGCGTGCTGTCCTTTTTTTTTATTTTTTTTACATGGATGCACGAGATGGCTACTTTAAAAAGGAGATGTCAAGTAGCGCCATCTCGTGCAAATCAAAATACTACAACCCCACCTGTAGTTCCACTCTACTCTCGTTAATAAGGCAGTCTTGGTGCCTGCTTCGATCATCCGAAAAATATGGTTTCAGATCAATTTTAGAATGGTTTCATGAGCAATACAATATGGCGACTTACATCAAACAAACTTTATAGCGTGGATGCGTCTGGATTGAAAAACCATTCACTCGCGCTCACGGGGAGCCTTCTCTCTGAAGACCCCACCTGTAGTTCCACTCTACTCTCGTTAATAAGGCAGTCTTGGTGCCTGCTTCGATCATCCGAAAAATATGGTTTCAGAACAATTTTACAATGGTTTTATGAGCAATACAATATGGCGACTTACATCAAACAAACTTTATAGCGTGGATGCGTCTGGATGGAAAAACCATTCACTCGCGCTCACGGGGAGCCTTCTCTCTGAAGACCCCACCTGTAGTTCCACTCTACTCTCGTTAATAAGGCAGTCTTGGTGCCTGCTTCGATCATCCGAAAAATATGGTTTCAGATCAATTTTAGAATGGTTTTATGAGCAATACAATATGGCGACTTACATCAAACAAACTTTATAGCGTGGATGCGTCTGGATTGAAAAACCGTTCACTCGCGCTCACGGGGAGCCTTCTCTCTGAAGACCCCACCTGTAGTTCCACTCTGCTCTCGCTAATAAGGCAGTCTTGGTGCCTGCTTCGATCGTCCGAAAAATATGGTTTCAGATCAATTTTAGAATGGTTTTATGAGCAATACAATATGGCGACTTACATCAAACAAACTTTATAGCGTGGATGCGTCTGGATTGAAAAACCGTTCACTCGCGCTCACGGGGAGCCTTCTCTCTGAAGACCCCACCTGTAGTTCCACTCTACTCTCGTTAATAAGGCAGTCTTGGTGCCTGCTTCGATCATCCGAAAAATATGGTTTCAGATCAATTTTAGAATGGTTTTATGAGCAATACAATATGGCGACTTACATCAAACAAACTTTATAGCGTGGATGCGTCTGGATTAAAAAACCATTCACTCACGCTGACGGGAAGCCTTCTATCTGAAGACCCCACCTGTAGTTCCACTCTACTCTCGTTAATAAGGCAGTCTTGGTGCCTGCTTCGATCATCCGAAAATAATGGTTTCAGATCAATTTTAGAATGGTTTTATGAGCAATACAATATGGCGACTTACATCAAACAAACTTTATAGCGTGGATGCGTCTGGATTGAAAAACCATTTACTCGCGCTCACGGGGAACCTTCTCTTTGAAGACCCCACCTGTAGTTCCACTCTACTCTCGTTAATAAGGCAGTCTTGGTGCCTGCTTCGATCATCCGAAAAATATGGTTTCAGATCAATTTTAGAATGGTTTTATGAGCAATACAATATGGCGACTTACATCAAACAAACTTTATAGCGTGGATGCGTCTGGATTGAAAAACCGTTCACTCGCGCTCACGGGGAGCCTTCTCTCTGAAGACCCCACCTGTAGTTCCACTCTACTCTCGTTAATAAGGCAGTCTTGGTGCCTGCTTCGATCATCCGAAAAATATGGTTTCAGATCAATTTTAGAATGGTTTTATGAGCAATACAATATGGCGACTTACATCAAACAAACTTTATAGCGTGGATGCGTCTGGATTGAAAAACCGTTCACTCGCGCTCACGGGGAGCCTTCTCTTTGAAGACCCCACCTGTAGTTCCACTCTACTCTCGTTAATAAGGCAGTCTTGGTGCCTGCTTCGATCATCCGAAAAATATGGTTTCAGATCAATTTTAGAATGGTTTCATGAGCAATACAATATGGCGACTTACATCAAACAAACTTTATAGCGTGGATGCGTCTGGATTGAAAAACCATTCACTCGCGCTCACGGGGAGCCTTCTCTCTGAAGACCCCACCTGTAGTTCCACTCTACTCTCGTTAATAAGGCAGTCTTGGTGCCTGCTTCGATCATCCGAAAAATATGGTTTCAGAACAATTTTACAATGGTTTTATGAGCAATACAATATGGCGACTTACATCAAACAAACTTTATAGCGTGGATGCGTCTGGATGGAAAAACCGTTCACTCGCGCTCACGGGGAGCCTTCTCTCTGAAGACCCCACCTGTAGTTCCACTCTACTCTCGTTAATAAGGCAGTCTTGGTGCCTGCTTCGATTATCCGTAAAATATGGTTTCAGATCAATTTTAGAATGGTTTTATGAGCAATACAATATGGCGACTTACATCAAACAAACTTTATAGCGTGGATGCGTCTGGATTAAAAAACCATTCACTCACGCTGACGGGAAGCCTTCTCTCTGAAGACCCCACCTGTAGTTCCACTCTACTCTCGTTAATAAGGCAGTCTTGGTGCCTGCTTCGATCATCCGAAAATAATGGTTTCAGATCAATTTTAGAATGGTTTTATGAGCAATACAATATGGCGACTTACATCAAACAAACTTTATAGCGTGGATGCGTCTGGATTGAAAAACCATTTACTCGCGCTCACGGGGAACCTTCTCTTTGAAGACCCCACCTGTAGTTCCACTCTACTCTCGTTAATAAGGCAGTCTTGGTGCCTGCTTCGATCATCCGAAAAATATGGTTTCAGATCAATTTTAGAATGGTTTTATGAGCAATACAATATGGCGACTTACATCAAACAAACTTTATAGCGTGGATGCGTCTGGATTGAAAAACCGTTCACTCGCGCTCACGGGGAGCCTTCTCTCTGAAGACCCCACCTGTAGTTCCACTCTACTCTCGTTAATAAGGCAGTCTTGGTGCCTGCTTCGATTATCCGTAAAATATGGTTTCAGATCAATTTTAGAATGGTTTTATGAGCAATACAATATGGCGACTTACATCAAACAAACTTTATAGCGTGGATGCGTCTGGATTGAAAAACCGTTCACTCGCGCTCACGGGGAGCCTTCTCTTTGAAGACCCCACCTGTAGTTCCACTCTACTCTCGTTAATAAGGCAGTCTTGGTGCCTGCTTCGATCATCCGAAAAATATGGTTTCAGATCAATTTTAGAATGGTTTTATGAGCAATAGAATATGGCGACTTACATCAAACAAACTTTATAGCGTGGATGCGTCTGGATTGAAAAACCGTTCACTCGCGCTCACGGGGAGCCTTCTCTTTGAAGACCCCACCTGTAGTTCCACTCTACTCTCGTTAATAAGGCAGTCTTGGTGCCTGCTTCGATCATCCGAAAAATATGGTTTCAGATCAATTTTAGAATGGTTTTATGAGCAATACAATATGGCGACTTACATCAAACAAACTTTATAGCGTGGATGCGTCTGGATTGAAAAACCGTTCACTCGCGCTCACGGGGAGCCTTCTCTTTGAAGACCCCACCTGTAGTTCCACTCTACTCTCGTTAATAAGGCAGTCTTGGTGCCTGCTTCGATCATCCGAAAAATATGGTTTCAGATCAATTTTAGAATGGTTTTATGAGCAATACAATATGGCGACTTACATCAAACAAACTTTATAGCGTGGATGCGTCTGGATTGAAAAACCGTTCACTCGCGCTCACGGGGAGCCTTCTCTTTGAAGACCCCACCTGTAGTTCCACTCTACTCTCGTTAATAAGGCAGTCTTGGTGCCTGCTTCGATCATCCGAAAAATATGGTTTCAGATCAATTTTAGAATGGTTTTATGAGCAATACAATATGGCGACTTACATCAAACAAACTTTATAGCGTGGATGCGTCTGGATTGAAAAACCGTTCACTCGCGCTCACGGGGAGCCTTCTCTTTGAAGACCCCACCTGTAGTTCCACTCTACTCTCGTTAATAAGGCAGTCTTGGTGCCTGCTTCGATCATCCGAAAAATATGGTTTCAGATCAATTTTAGAATGGTTTTATGAGCAATACAATATGGCGACTTACATCAAACAAACTTTATAGCGTGGATGCGTCTGGATTGAAAAACCGTTCACTCGCGCTCACGGGGAGCCTTCTCTTTGAAGACCCCACCTGTAGTTCCACTCTACTCTCGTTAATAAGGCAGTCTTGGTGCCTGCTTCGATTATCCGTAAAATATGGTTTCAGATCAATTTTAGAATGGTTTTATGAGCAATAGAATATGGCGACTTACATCAAACAAACTTTATAGCGTGGATGCGTCTGGATTAAAAAACCATTCACTCACGCTGACGGGAAGCCTTCTCTCTGAAGACCCCACCTGTAGTTCCACTCTACTCTCGTTAATAAGGCAGTCTTGGTGCCTGCTTCGATCATCCGAAAATAATGGTTTCAGATCAATTTTAGAATGGTTTTATGAGCAATACAATATGGCGACTTACATCAAACAAACTTTATAGCGTGGATGCGTCTGGATTGAAAAACCATTTACTCGCGCTCACGGGGAACCTTCTCTTTGAAGACCCCACCTGTAGTTCCACTCTACTCTCGTTAATAAGGCAGTCTTGGTGCCTGCTTCGATCATCC